AAATGGGACAAAACTGCTGGAGGATGCACACACCCAGAAATGCTGCTGAAGCTGAGGGTTAACTGGCAGCGTGGGGCAGAGCAGGAATAACTTTCCAGTGGTGCTGAGAGTTTTGAAGCCCAAAGGTGGGATGCTGGAGTCCCTCGGGGGGATGCTGGGGTGCTCAGGGGGGTGCTGGTCCTTGGCCCCGCGGTGTGGTGGGTGATGGCAGCAACCTGTGTGACAGAGGAAGGTGGAGGTGTGGTGTGGGGGGGTGCTGGAGGAGAAAGGGGTGGCCAGGGGCATCTCAGGGGGTCTGGGGTGATGAAGCAGGTAGGGCTTGTGTTGGAGAAAATGCATGATGGTGTGGGGAAAAAAAACAAACAAAAAAAAAGGCACATTTCTGGGGAATTGGTGGAGAAGTTATAACTTGCTGGGAAGGATGACGGCGCATGGCCTCTCGTGTGGTTTTGGGCTTGGGGGTTGGAGCAGGACCAGTGCTGGGGGGGTTCAGGGGGAAGTGATGCCCATCCTGCCCGGAGCAGAGTTATCTGCAGGGATGACAGCTTCTGCAGTTATTTTTTTTCTTCTTTTTGAATAAAATAAAAGCAAATAATCGTAGCTTCCCAAGGTTGTATTTGCCCAGCACACACTTGAATTATGTTGAGGTCCTTTCTCAGGGATGCTAGAGCATCTCCCTGCTGGGACGAGCCAGAAATTAAGGACGATTCACAAGTAAAAACCATTTTCCAGGAGCATCACTGCGGTGTGATAATTACTGGCTTGCAGAAGGAGAAAGTCTGCTGTAAGGCTCAAGATGCTCAGCACCAAGACCCCCCTCTGTCCAGCTGCAGCTCCTTAGGCTGGCTCAGGGTGGGAAATATTCTGTAAAATATTTGGAGAATAATTAATTCTCAGTTATTTATACTTTTCTACTATTTAATATTTTATAGTCTCTCTCAGTTATATATATTTACATAAAGTTCTTACAGCGCCTCGAGGGAGCTGTGGAACTCGTACCGATCTCATGCCTATCACAGGGAAATATTAAATTACTGAGTGAGTTTTTTAAATTTTAGTGCTGTATGTTTGTGGGCGTAATGAAACGGCCGTGAGTGCTCTAATGTGCGAGTTGTTCATGTAAGTTGTTTGTCATGGAGCTGACGAGCTTTTTCTGTAATTAGCAATTGTGACTGAAACAAGGATTCCTGATTTTGCAAGTGAGTGTATTGGAAAATTAGGAAAATGGTAGTAAAGTAACTGTCAGCAGTGAAGAGGTGGGATGATGAGGGACTGCAATTAAATCGTCTTCTGCCTGTGATGTCCCGTCTTTGTAATTAGTGGTATCGCTCTTAGAAAAACAGCCTCATTAAAAGTATTCCCATCTCAAGTACTCTTTGATTTATATTAAATTTAATCACGTAATTCAACAAAAAGAGCAAATAGATGAGGCTGTTTGCTCTTTGCAAATAATGTCACCTCTGGGACGTGACCCCCGTGCCGGTGAGGAGCCCTGGCGGGATGTGGGCTCCCTCCCCATCCTCGAGCGATGCACACGTGTGTGCGTGTCTGTGTGCGCACGTGTGTCCACATCCACAGTTCCCCTTTTTTGGGCTGGTGGGGGTCAGGGTCACCCAGCAGCCGTGCAAGATTGTCCCCAAACTTTCAACTCCTGACACCC